GTTGGAATGTGGGCATACTCTGGCGATGGAGGACTGTGGCCTCCGCGCGCGCGAAGCCTCGCAGGGCAACTTGAATAACACAACGCCAAGAACGGCGCGCAATCCGATCGGGATCCTTTCTGGGAATTTCTGAGATCCGGCGGGCTCTGGAAGATGCACCGCGCGCCGCAGCCCGAGAGCGTTCTGGAACGCTCTGGAACGATGCATCCCTGCCTTAGCCCCGCCCGAATGAGCCTGATGAACCGCTGTATGTCTCTCGACCCTCCCCAAGAGACTGAAGTATCGTTTCGACGCCGCTTTTGACAGACTGGGATCCCACCAGTAGTGGAAACAAGTATTTCTCCGCGGCACCCGCCGCACGACGACGACGACGACGACGACGACGACGACGACGACGACGACGACGACGACGACGACGACGACGACGACTACGAGTACAGGACGACAACGACAACGATTACGATTACAACTGCGATCACGACTACGATTCCGAGTACAACCACGAGTACGATTTTCGACTACGACTACGACTACAGGCACGAGTACGATTATGAGTACAACCACGACTACAATCACGATCACAAGCACAATTACAACCCCGACTACAATCACGACTACAGCCACAGACACTGATGCCTCTTGGAATCCTCATGAGAAGGTGCTCGCACATCCTCTCACGTGTGAGGTCGCCCACAATGGCCAACAATAGAGGTAAGATAATCGCTGCCGAGACGACGACGACTACCCTATATAAGTCCGTGAACCCGCCCCCAGGAATGGAAATGTATCATCTTTTCGACACCCGTATTGACAGACTGGGGCCCCGCCAGCAGTGGGAAGTACTTGTTGATCCGCGGCACCCGCCGCACAACAACGACGACTACGACTACACACTACGATTACGACTACGATGGCGAGTACAACCACGAATACCGATTCCTGTTGCTGCCATCCCCATGAGACCATGCTCACACATCCTCTCACGTGCAGGGTACCCCACGACGGATTACTGCTTTGAAAAAGGAGGCCCCGACCATTACCCAACCTCTCAACAATAGAGGGAACATGATCCCCGCTGCGACGACGACAACGACGGCTACGATTACGACTACCATGCCGACGACAACCACGATTACACTTACTATTATAATCGCGACTACAACATCGATTTCAATTACAAGTCCAGACGCAATTACAATCACGACTAACCAACAAGACTGATTATCATTGCGATCACCATGACAAGATGCTCACACAAGTCCTCTCGTGCGTAGGCTAGCCCACACTGGATTCTTCCCTGGGAGAAAGAAACGCCCACATTATCCAGCCCAGCCAATAATAGTGGAAACATGATCCCCGCTGCGACGACGACGATGACAACGACGGCTACGGTAACGATCACGAGGAACAGCAGGAGGGGGACCAGGAGGAGGAGGAGGAGGAGGAGGAGTCGGGAGGAGCAGCAGGAGGAGGAGGAGGAGGGGCAAGAGAAGGAGGGGCAAGAGGAGGAGGAGGAGGAGAGGGAAGAGGAGGAGGAGGAAGAGGAGGAGGAGGAGGAGGGGCGCGTATTTTACCCGCAGAGGGAGACAGGGGCGGTGCAAAACTAAAGACCACCTGAGGTTACGAGTACGACCAAGACTGCAAATACAACCCTGACTACGATTACGACTACAGCCACGACTACAATCACGATTACAATCGGGATTACAACCACGACTACAATCACGACTACCACCACAAACACTGATTTGCATTGCAATCCTCAAGAGGAAATGCTCACAGATCCTCTCGCGCGTAGGCTAGACCACAATAAAGTCCTCCTTGGGAGAAAGGAACCCCCAAACTTATCCAGCCCGCCCAACAAGAAAGGAAGCATAATCTCCGCCGCGACGACGACGACGACAACGGACGATGAAGACAACGACTACGATAGCGACCACGAGAAAGAGCAGGAGGAGGACGAGGAGGAGGAGCAAGGGGAGGAGGAGGAGCAGGAGCAGGAGGGCCGGAGGAGGAGGAGGAGCAGGAGGAACAGGAGGAGGAGGAGGAGCGGCGAGGTTGCTCCCCGCCGGGAGAGGCAGGGGGGGAGATTCAAAACCAAAGACCTCCCGAGGTCATGGCTCGACCCACGCCGGATTCGTGTTGGATTCACGTCGGGCCCACGCCGGAACGTCGCCGAGCGAACGTCGGCCCATCTCTCTTACGGGCAGGACGTGTGGACCGGGCTGCGCGAGGTTTCGAGACCATTTCTCGCAGCGGAGGGCATCGTGCCCCGAGCCTAGCTAAAATCAAGCAGGATCGGAACGGGACATGCGGGCCTCAAGAATGTACACCACCGCCACGTCGACTCCTCCTCCCTCCTCTACCCTCCTCTTCCATCCTTTGTTCCCGGGAGAGGGAGGGGGTGAGGGAGGTGGCGTTGGTGTACTCCAGATTTCGTAATAAAAGGTCTGGACCCTCCAGGACAAGCCATTTCAGACCTCCCCCATGGGAGAACCCTCCAAAACATCGTCCCCAGACCCCCCAGGCCCTCCAAGATAGCCTGGAAGAGACCCCCCCCGAAATGAGACCCCCCTCCCTTTATTACGAAATCCGGGGTATATGTTCGGGTCCCGTAGGACAGAACCCGCTTGGGACACATCGGGGATCTCCGCGGTGCGGCGGCTCTGGAGGATGCGTCGTCGGGGTCCGCGGCCGTTCCAGATCGTTCTGGGACGCACTGAGTCTACTGCGGGTTCGTGTCGTGTCGCTGGTGTTGGTTCCTGACGTCGCGAGGGTCGTTGAACCTGGAAGGACCGGCCATTTCCGAAACGTTGGATCGTGAAACATCGAACGGTTCTGGGTCGCCTGCTGCGTTCAGTGTTGAACGCCAGTGGCGGGGTCACCGCTGGTCGACAAGCCGCGAACTGACCGTACGGAACCACATGGAAACCCTTCCTATGCAGGTCAGCGTTCTGAAAAACTGGCGGGGATTCAGAATCTTGAGGACTAGAAGAAGAACAAAACACGCCATAAGCGTAAACTTTCGGCGCTCCGCGCGGATTTCTTGGATCTGCACTGGAAACACCTCACTGGCGCGCGGAGAGCGCCAGGGGCGGCGCGGGAGCCGCCGAAGGGGAGGCCGGGGAGTCGGAACCCATCGAAATCGAGTCGAATCGAGTCGGTGTAATCGAAGTGAGCCCTGTCTCGTTGCCCCTCCTCCTCCTCCTCCCCCTCCTTCTCCTCCTACTCCGCCTCCTCCTTCTCCTCCCCCTCCTCCTCTTCCTCCTCCTCCCTCTCCTCCTTCTCCTCCTCCTCCTCCTCCTCCTCGTCCTTCTCGTCCTCCTCGTCCTCCTCCCCCTCCTTCTCCCTCCTTCCCCCTCCTCCTCCCCCTCCTCCCCCTCCTCCCCCTCCCCTCCTCCCCTCCTCCTCCCTCTTCCTCTTCCTCCTCCTCCTCCTCCTCCTCCTGCACTCCCCTGCTCCTCCTCCTGCTCCTCCTCCTCCTCCTCCTTCTCCTCCTCCTCCTCCTCCTCCTCCTCCTCCTCCTCCGCCCTCCCCCCTCGTGCGCGCGCGGAGGCCGAGGTGAGGCCCCCCGAGGAGCCGGCGCCGTGCCCCGTGTTTCTCCAGTGCGGCCAGCCGCGGTCCGCGGCGGCGGCGGCGGCCCTCGTCGGGCGCCGCCCCCCTCAGCGGGAGGGGCAACGCGGAGGAGGAGGAGGAGGAGGAGGAGGAGGAGGAGGAGGAAAGGAGGAGGAGGAAAGGAGGAGGAGGAGGAGGAGGGGGAGGAGGAGGAAGAGGAGGAGGAGGAAGAGGAGAAGGAGGGGGAGGAGAAGTAGGAGGCGGAGCAGGAGGAGAAGGAGGGGGAGGAGGAGGAGGAGGGGCAACGAGACAGGGCTCATTTCGATTCCTCCGACTCGAGTCGATTCGATTTCGATGGGTTCCGACTCCGCTTCGACCTCGTTTTCGGATTCCGAGTCGGGGTCCGATTTCTCTACGGAGGCCCACTAGACTGCCGACTTCTGCCGATTCGACTTTTCCCGACTCGGGTGCCGTCCCCCTCCGCGGAGGGGCCACGAGAGGCTTGGCATCGCTCTGACTTTTTCCGCTTCTTTTTGGGAACGAGCAATGGCATAAACATAACAACTCGGAGGTTCGCGCGGATTCTCGGATCGGCGCTGGGACCCCCTGGCGGCGCTTCGGCGCCGCCCCTGGCGCGCTGCGCGCGCCAGGGAGGGTGGTCGAGCGCCGAGCCGAGCAATCCGCGCGGACCTCCGAGTTGTTACAGTTATGCCATTGTTCGTTCACACATGTTGCTTCCTCGGCGAGGACCATCGAGGAGCATCTTCACCCTCCTGCGAAACATGGATCGCTCGAGATCGGCAGAGAATGAACGGCGCATGGACGGCCGAGCGGTGGCAAGGATGGGGGGGGGGGACGGGCCGTGGGCGCGCGCGCCCCGCGTGGGCTCCCATGGAGGGAGGAGGATTCTGAGAACGAGGCGGAGAGTGAGGCGGCGCAGGCCAGGTCGTCGTCGCCGTCGCCGTCGTTGTCGCCGTCGCCGTCGCCGTCGCCGTCGCCGTCGTCGTCGTCGTCGTCGCCGTCGCCGCCGACGTCGTCGTCGTCGTCGTCGTCGCCGTCGTCGCCGTCCGTTTCCGTCGTCGTCGTCGCCGTCGCCGTCGTCGTAGGTCAGGGACAACGTTCGGGGGGGGGGTCTGCGTAGGAGAGATGCATCGGCCCACAACGGCCCATAGATCGCCGATAGGGGCTTGATAGCCCCACCCCGCTCAGGAACGGTCGGATTTGTGATCGAGGGCTTGTCTCCGAAGAAGTGACCACCGCCACCGAGAACCCGCTCCTCTAAGAACAAAACGTGGCATACATGTAGTTACTCGGCGTTCCGCGCTGTTTTTTTCATCGTTGCGCCTTCCTCTCCTCCGATGCATGGCGACAATGCTTGTGTTCTCAACTTACTTGATCGCGTCTCGGGGTTAGATGGTGTGGGTAGGCCGTGCAATGTAAGCATCCACCGCAAAACGTATCCGCCCGCGGCTTCTGTCAACGAGCACTTTCGTACGCAACTGCTGCTCATCTTCCGTGCCCGCTCAGTCTTCCCGTTCTGTCTTCATTGCCCAGCCCTGCTCCCACGCACACGTGGGGCACGTGTGATGATGCGGCTGCGCCCCCCGCCTGCCCCCCAAGGCTTTTGCGATACTGGCGAAGCACCACAGTCGCGAATCGGCCCACGACCCGACGGGGGTCCAGGCAGTACTACAGTGAGCGGCTTGAATAAGGAACATTTCCTTTCCAAAAGGGACTCGGTCGTTCCTTAAGTTTGCATGCGTTATTTATCGTTCCTGGTGCGTCATTTGTTATTTATCGTTCCTCATGCGTTATTCCTTTGAAGAGGGGCTTCGTTCCTTAGTTATCGTTCCTTAGGTCAGGCCGATGACTGTACGGCCAAACTTCAGGAGACGGATGCACGACCTGCCTCGGGTTGCTGCTGCGCCCCTGCGCTGCTGTTGCGCTTGGTCCCGACGCCCGCCCGGCAAGGGACGGGGGTGGGCTGGGGTGCCCCTGCGTCGCTGGGGTAGCAGCCCGCCGCCCGGAATGCAGTCGGGGCGCTGAAGAAGGAACCCTTTTTGTTGGGGAGGGGCTCGGTGTTCCTTGATTTTGTTCCAAGTTTGCCTCGGGTTTTCCTGGGGTTTTCCATCGGAAACCGAGGCTGAACTTATAGGACAAAGGGGCCTCGTTCCTTATTTAGGGTTCCTCAGTTCCACGCCTCGACTGTATGCCAGCTTCGGCGGCCAAGGCCCCTTGCGTCTGCACCGGCAGCGGAGGAGGAGGAGGAGGAGGAGGAGGAGGAGGACGAGGAGGAGGAGGAGGAGGAGGAGGAGGAGGAGGAGGAGGTCGCGGTCCCCGCCGCTTCCCTGCGCGCGCGCCGCCGCTGCTCCCGGGCTCCACGGCCCCCCCCCCCCTCCCCGCGGCAGGCTCGCCCTGGTGCTCGCCGGCTCCCTCGCGGCCGGGCGCCCGCTGCTCCGGGCGCCCGGCGGCGGCGACCACCGCGCGGGCCTGTCGCTGTCGCAGTGCGAGGCGCCCTTCGGCCGCGCCGGCACCGCCATGCCTCGAGCAGTTCGGGAGCCTTGAGACGGGGGTCATCACCACCCACCAAACCGCCCCAACCCAACCACCCGAAGGCTCAGATTTACCCTCGATTTCCAGTGGGGGGGGGGGTCGGGAAACATCGGAAAAACGCATGTAGAACCCTTACCCCCCCAACCCGAAATTCGGGTCTTCGGGTTGGGTTGGGGTGGTCTGGTAGGTAGTCAGGTCAGTGCAGACGGGGGTCAGCCAGGGCGCCGGATCCTGCAGGATCCTGCGAAGACCCCCTCTGGCGGACCCGGGTTGGCGAGCCGCTCGTGGCCGCGGGGCGGCCGCGCACATTGGCCGACCCGGGTTTGCGAAGGCCTGCGTTGCAGTTTTTTTGTTTTGTTCCTGCATTGCAGTTTTTGGTTTCCTGCTGACCCGGGTCTGGATTGACCCGAGTCAGAAGATCCCCAAGCAGCGGCGAAGCGTCCTGGCTCGTCCGGAGGCCCGCCGAGGAATGGTCTGAGGACCTCTTGTTGTCTGCGCGGGATGGTCTCAGAGCACTTCTGGCGAGGGCTGCCCTGTTTCACAACACACGTCGGGCTTCTGCTCTGAGAGCACGGTTCTTGGTCTCAGAATTTCTTGGGGGTTCAAAGGACATTTCGTGGTAGGCCTACAGGAATGCGGGGACGGTTGGTCCCTGCTCAAACACCAGCCAGAGCGAGGCGGCGGTCAGCCGGTCCTGGACAGTTCTCGACTCGGAGATTTCACGCTACAGCAAGGGGGAGCGGGCGGTTCTTTGCAGTTTTCGGTTTCCAGAGGGCCCTCGCCGGGCCCTGGGACCGTCAAATCCTCGACTCAGGATGAAAAAAGGGGCCTTAGGAAGTGGTCCAGACCTCCGGGGCCCGCGCATCCAAACAATTGGAGCAGCCAGATGTTCACGTCGAAGGAGGCTTTTCCTATTTTGGGCCTCTGGGAGCCTGTTGCGCCATGCGCAAAGGAGGGGTAGAGGGATGGGGGCGGTTTCTTAGAAGCCCCCCTGCTTCTCAGAAGGCGCGGGCCTTTTCTGTAGATGTAGGGCCAGCGCCGGCGCCTGCCAAGAAGCAGCATCCCCCTTTGTGCGCGCCACCAACCCTGACAGTGGGGACGCGCAACAAGAAACCGTGCGCTTTTCGTCAGGGCGCTGGGTTTCTCCGCTCCGCGCGCTGCGCGGTGACCTCAGGCGGCCATTGGAGACGCTGCTGCGTTCAGGGTGCTCGGCATTCTCCCCCGGAGTGCATCTCGCGCGCGGGTTTTCAGGGCCGGGCTTCTTGCGAGGGCTTCTGGCAGCCGCGTCTGCACTGTGGTGGGCCTGGGAGCCGTCAGATACGACTCAGACGAAACTTTTCAAGGGAGGAACCACCGAGGGCCCGACACTTGGTGTGCACCCAACGGCCCTGGACATTTACTGAGCAGCCCTGCTCTGTTCGATGCCTTCCCTGGGGGTTTTTGCTAAACGGCATTGCTCGTCGGGGTGAGCATTCTGGGGCTAGATTTTCTCCCCTCTGAAACTGGGAGGAGGAGGAGGAGGAGGAGGAGGAGGAGGAGGAGCAGGAGCAGGAGCAGGAGCAGGAGCAGGAGGTGGGAGGAGGAGGTGGGGGAGGGGGAGGAGTGGGAGGAGGAGGAGGAGGAAGGGGAGGAGGAGGAGGGGGAGGCGGAGGAGGAGGAGGACGAGGAGGAGGAGAAGGAGAAAATGGATGAGGACTCCAAAAGACGTCCTTCTCCTCCTCCCCTTCCTCTTCTTCCTCCTCATCCTCCTCCTCCGCCCTCTCCCCCTCCTCCCTTCCTCCTCCTCCTCCTCCTCCTCCTCCTTCTCCTCGCTTCCTCCTCCTCGACAGTCGCACCTTGCTTCTTTGCAGTGCAAGTCTTGTGGCTCAGACTGCGCCCCATGGCTCTCGGCGGATGTTTCCCCGCCGTCTGTGTCAGAATCGCGCTCTCGCTCGAGATACCCTCCCAGCTTTCTACCGAATCGCGCCCTCAGCAGGGATTTCCTCGGAGCCTCTTCAGGAAATCGCGCTCACGCTGCTCTGGAATCGGGCTCTCGCGCAGGACTCTCTGGCACTGTAGTGAGGCATCGCGCTCTCGCCGCTCAGGTATTGCACCCTCGCCCAGGACTTCGTTGCAGGTCAAGTGGGATTTGCGCCCTCGTCCTCCGAGTGGCGGCGCATGGCCGCCGTGATATTTCTCAAGTGAGCGGGACGAGTGCGGGTCACTGCACAGTGCGGCTCTTTTGGTAGCGTTGCCCTCAGTGTCTCCATCAGCTGCGCATGTGGATGGGGGACCCTCGCGACCATCGGGCTCCTGCCTGAGGTTCACTGGCGCATCCAACGGCTGCGCGGACAGACAGCAGATCCTCCTCAGACTCGTGTTTCCAGTCTGGCGTCGCGGGCATGAGCTGCACGCGTGCAGGGCGCTTTCCTCTCAATATGTTAGCGGTCGAGTACGATTTGATGGTCTTCGAAGCAAAGGGCTTCCCCAATGCAAATCCGTGGGGCCCGTATCCTTCTTGTGTGCGTCCGCCACAAGAAACAGCTGTGTTGCTTCAAATGAGGGGGACTTGGTGTATGTGCGTCACCCTCGTTTTGTTTTCCTCTTTCCCCTCGCTGTCTTTATATCCGAACGGTACAGTATGCTTGAAGGGGCCCCAGTACACACATAAATACACACAAATAAAACTATCCCCCATATGTTCTTATATTTTCTGGGTTTCTGTCATCCCCCCACTTCCCATATTTTCCATATTTTCTGGGGAATCGATGATTCATTGTGTCTGCGTGTTTTTTCTTCTCCTGAATGCTTCTTGCCGCTTGTACTCATCTCCCTGTTCTGCTACCATGCCTTGCTCTCGGGTCTGGGGGGCGATATCCTCTTGTGCTTGTTTCGTGCGCGTTTTACTCTCACACACACACCCGTCTTATACCTTGCGTGCTGCAAGAGGTGCGCGGTGCACCGTGACCTTTACCTCTAGTTGGTAACGGAACGTTGCTCCCGTTCACGTGCCGCAGTCTTCTCCTCCCGCTGTCCTCCTTCGATGGCAAAGTTTCCACCGCCATGCCTTCTGGCAGAATGAGTCCAAGGACTACCACTTCAAGATATCCCTCCGCATTAGAAGGCCTCGATCGCACAGAAGATGTATAACCAGGTGCGGCGAATCGGAGGCTCTGGGGCAGAGTTGGCGCTATCCCAAGCCTGCCTCGGGGTTGCCAAGGTGACCCACCTGCTCCGCGCGCGTGCGGCGACGAGCTGGTGGAGGAGGCTGACGCCCTGTGGTCCTTCGACCGCGTCCAGAAGGGCACCCTCGATCGGCTTGTCCCGGGCTGCGACGCCGAGTCTCGAGCCCAAGCGTCCCTGAGCGTCCAGGTGGGCGGTTTGGGCATGAGGCGCGCCCGCGACGTCGCCCTGCCCGCCGTGGTCGCCAGCCGCGCGATGGCGCGAGCTGGCGAAGGCCTGCCTCCTCCGAGCAGGGCGGCTTCTCGCCGAGCACGACGCCGCCGCCCGGGGGGTCAGTGGGAATGCTGCGCGCCGAGCTCGACGGCGCCGAAGCGGCCCAGGTCGAGGGGCTAGTCGCCGAGGCGGCCGACGCCGCGGCCGCGGCATGGGCGCGCCGCATGGAGGGCAAGGGCGGCGAGGCAGCGGCGCCGCGCGCGCAGTGGACGGCGTTTGCGGAGGATGAGCGGGTGGCGCCAGCAGCAGCAGGCGGCGCAGAGGAGCCGCTCGGGGGAGGCGCCGCCGCAGGCGGCGGCCCTTTCGGGAGCGGCGACGACGGCGTTGACGCTTGCCCGAGCGCCCAGGCGCGGGGGGCGTCTCGCGACTCACCGCTACCGGCGTCCAGCGCCAGCTCAGCATCCTCGTGGACAACTCGCGCCTGCGCCGGCGTGTCGATGGGGCTCGAGGCATCTGGGCGTTTCTCAGACATGCGGCGCTTGCAGGAGCTCCGCGACCCGTCTGTCGATCACAGCTGGGTCCGGCGGCTCGACTTCTGCGAGGGGCCCGTGTTGGGCGAGGACGACTATTCCTTGTGCTTGCAGCTGCGCCTCGGCGCGAGCGTGGTGCCGAACTCCTACGAGTGCCCTGAGTGTGGCGGCCTTGTCGACTGTCGACTCTCGCACAGCACCTGCTGTGCCAAGGCCGAGCGCACCAATGGGCACTACGCCGCAGTCCGCGCCGGAGCGCATGCACGGGGTCGACAGCGGGGCCTCGCTCGAGCAGAGTGGCCTGGTGGAGGCGGAGCCCAGCGCTCGGCCTGGCGACATCTTCACGACGGCGGCAGTGCCGGACCGCGAGGCCGCGGTGGACGTGACGATAGTCAGCCCAGAGGCCACCGCCGCTGGGGCCGACTGCGTGGCGACCGCCCATCGCGGCAAGTTCGAGCGGTACCGGGTCGCAGTCGCCGAGTGGGGGGGCGCGGGCCCGTGCGTGCAGCCGCTGGTCCTGCGAGGGCCGCGCCCGCCCCGGCGTCGAGCGGGCCATGGCCTTCTGCGCCAAGGCCCTCGCGCGGAGGGCGAGTGCGAACCCCAGGGACGTGCTCCGGCGCTGGAGGGCCGACATCGGGGAGGCCATCGCTGCGCGGCGTGCGAGGATGGCGCGGCGCTGCCCGCCGGCGCACGCCGCCCGCGCCGCCGGGGTCGCCCGCTGGCTGGTCGGCGACGAGGCTGGGGGCCAGCGCGCGGCCCAGGGCGCCCTCGGCGACTACCTGGCCGGCGCGGACGAAGCGCCGTCGGCGGAGTGGGCTTCCCGGCGCCCCCCGCCGCGCGGCGGCGCGACGTTTTAGCTGCGGTTTTCGCGCGGGTATTCTTTTAGCGGCCTCCCGAGGCGCCCCAGTGGCCCCCGAGTAGGCTCAAATGGTGCCCTTGCGAGGCCCAGGGCGCCGCCGTCGGAGGTTAAAAATCCTTCGTGAACTACTAAACGCTTCGCCGGCGAAGCGTCTGGAATATCACGGGGGTTCATGGGCTCTCCCTCGGCGGCCC